TATAAAATAAAAAATGAATACATAAAAATAAATATTTAAAAAAATTAAAAAGTTTATAAAAATAAAATATTTGAAAAAATGAAAAATTAAAATAAAAACATTTTTGGTTTCCGTTTCGTTTTTAAAATTTCTATTTCGGTGCATCTCTAATTAGAACCCCTGTCAGTTTTTTTTCTGCTATCCAGGGCTGTGTTAGGCCCCTTTCACGTGGAAGCCTTCAGTTCCGAGCAGGAGGGGATCCGTGCACAGAGGCTAACATGGGGTATCAGACAGGTCCTCTTTGCTCCTTGAAGAATTCACACGGTTCATATGTTCTCCGTGTGTGATTAGGGAAATGATGAACATCCCCTCGGCGGTCCCTCACCTGTCCCATCCCGGAGTGACTCATCCCCCCGGAAAACGAGGAGATCCGAGGCGGAATAAACTTCCCCAGGATACAATGAATCCCAAGACAGCCCGAGAACCTATGAATGTCACTTAAAGGGGGTCTGTCATAAAACAAATGCCGGAAGCCATTACCGACCTCCTGATCTAGTCACCTGGCTGTCATGCTAATCCTCTGTCCTCAATACTGCACGTCACGGACTTAGGACAAGGAAGGCGGTGGAGAGGGAAGGGGGGTGAAGGAGGAAGCAGTAGCCGGGTGGCAGCTCATTGGATGGGAACATTAGTGACTAGGGCGGGCTTTTAGGGCAATAAAATTGCTCGATACCACCAATGGCGGCCAAGCCGCCCCCATCTACAGCTCCCACTGATAGCCGATCAGCGTCCATCCACTGTTATCTCATGCTCACATCACTATCTACAGGACACAAGCAGGTGAGAACCCACAATATTGCATCCACAAGAGGAGCGGTACAGTGAACACCGGCAACACAGGACTGGAGGCAGGTACAGAGGACTGGAGGCCGGTACAGAGGACTGGAGGCGGGTACAGAGGACTGGAGGCGGGTACACAGGACTGGAGGCGGGTACACAGGACTGGAGGCGGGTACACAGGACTGGAGGCGGGTACACAGGACTGGAGGCGGGTACACAGGACTGGAGGCAGGTACAGAGGGCTAGAGGCAGGTACAGAGGGCTAGAGGCGGGTACAGAGGACTGGCGGCGGGTACAGAGGACTGGAGGCGGGTACAGAGGACTGGAGGCAGGTACAGAGGACTGGAGGCAGGTACAGAGGACTGGAGGCAGGTACAGAGGACTGGAGGCGGGTACAGAGGACTGGAGGCGGGTACAGAGGACTGGAGGCGGGTACAGAGGACTGGAGGCGGGTACAGAGGACTGGAGGCGGGTACAGAGGACTGGAGGCGGGTACAGAGGACTGG